CGAGGCTGCGGTGGCTGGGAGCGGCCACTGCACTCCAATCTGGGCGACCAAGTGAGACCCCAACTCAAAAAAAAGAAGATATACAGGCAGCCAGCCACATGAAAAAGTGCTCAGCCCCACTCATCATCAGAGAAATACAAATCAAAACCACATTGAGATACCACCTAACCCCAGTAAGAATGGCTATCATTAATAAAACAAACAACAACAAATGCTGGCGAGGATGCGGAGAAAAAGGAACCCTTCTACACTGCTGGTGGGAATGCAGACTAGTACAACCTCTTTGGAAGACAATGTGGTGATTCTGAAAGAACTAGAAATTGACCTTCCATATGACCCAGCAACTCCCCTATCGGGAACATACCCAGAGAAACTCAAATCATTCTGCAAAAAAGATACCTGCACACGTATGTTTGTTGCAACTCTATTCACAATAGCAAAACATGGAATCAACCATGCTGCCCATCGAAGCTGGACTGGATAAAAAAAAAATGTTGTACATATACACAATGGAATATTATGCAGCCACAAAGAAGGACAAACATATGGACTTCGAAGCAACTTGGATGCATTTAGAGTCGATCATACTCAGTGATCTATCACAGAAACAAAGAACAGAGTACCATATGTTTTCACTCATAAGCGGACCTTGAACAATTATTATAATACTATAAAAAAGGGATTGGCAGTAGTGGGAAACAGTCAGGGGAGTGGGGTGGGATTGGCAGTTGAGGGAAACTGCTAGGGGAGGGAGGTACATACCTCATCAACAAGGGTACCTGCACAATCAACGTTTGTATACCTAACCCTAAATTGTATCCCACATCTTTATAATAAAAAAATAAAAATAAAAGAATTACTTAGCCGGGCTCGGTGGCTCAGCCTGTAATCCCGCGCCTTTGGGAGGCTGATGTGAGTGGATTGCCTGAGCCCACGGGTTCGAGACCCGCCTGGGCAGCAAGACCTCATCTCTACAATAAATCAAAAAGTCAGCCGTGTCTGGTAGTGCATGCCTGTAATTCCGGCTACTTGGAAGGCTGAGGCGGAAGGATTGCTGAAGCCCAGCAGGTCGAGGCTGTGGTGGCCGGGAGCGGCCACTGCACTCCAGTCTGGGCAACAGAGTGAGACTCCAACTCAAAAAATAAAAAAATAAAAAAATAAAATTACTTGAGACACAGTGAAAAGGTCCACTGTATACATAATCAGACTCTCAGGAGGAAGACAGTGAGGCAGAGACAGTGTTTAAAAAAATAGTAGAGCCGGGCTCAGTGGCTCAGCCTGTAATCCCGTGCCTTGGGAGGCTGAGGTGAGTGGATTGCCTGAGCCCGCGGGTTCAAGACCCGCCTGGGCAACTTGGTGAGACCTCATCTCTACAATAAAAAAATTAAAAAATTAAAAATTAGCCAGGCGTGGTAGCGTGCACCTATAGTTCCAGCTACTTGGAATGCTGAGGTGGAAGGATCGCCGGGGCCCAGCAGGTCAAGGCTGCGGTGGCCGGGAGCGGCCACTGCACTCCAGTCTGGGCGACAGAGCGAGACTCCAACTCAAAAAAAAAAAAAAGTAGTAGAGATAAAAAGAGACACTTCATAATGAAGATCAATCCAACAGGAACAGAGAATCCTAAACCTGTATGCACCTAGTAACACAATGTCAAAATATATAAAGCAAAAATTATAATGAAATGGAGACATCAATTAAGTCTATAATCAGTAATAGATAGGAAAAACAGATTTTTAAAAACCAGTAAAGAAAATTTGACCAATGTGATTAACATATGTGACCTAATTAACATTAATATAACACTGCCATCAGCTGGTGACTACTTTTTTTTTTCAAATTCATATAGAACGTTAACCAAAAACAACCACACACTGAACTTAAAGCAAGTCCAAACAAATTTCTAAGGATTGAAATCATACAACGTATATCTCTGACCACAGAAAAATTATAGACAGAACAGTATACTGATTATGCTATGTTTTCTGAGGGAAAAAAAGGCTTTAAAATACTTGTATTTGTTTATGTACATTTAGGTGTAAAAACTCTGGAAGAATAATAATACTGCTTGCATTTAGGAAGGGCAACTGTGCCATTGGGAGATGAAAAGTCGTTTTTGTTTTTTTTTTTAATTGGAGTCTTACTCTATCTCCCAGGCTGGAGTACAGTGGCACACTCACTGCCACCATAGCCTCAACCTGCTGGACTCAGGCAATCCTTCCACCTCAGCCTTCCAAGTACCTGGAACCACAGGTGTGTGCCCCATAAAAAAATGCTACTATTGCCACTAAAAACAATCGCTGGAAAATAGTTTTTATTCTTCATAAAAACTGCTATTTATGTTAGAATATAATGGGTTTAGTATTGTTACTTTTTTGTGTGTGAGTTGAAGTCTCAATCTGCCACTGTGCTCGGCTGTTTTGATTTTTGAGACATGGGTCTATATATCAATTCAAAAATCTTAGGTAAAGTCAATCAATAAATTATATCAGTTCACCACAGATCAGTTCACCTAATAACAACTTGCATGCATAGCACGCTGGCTGGGTGCTAAGTGTTCTACATGCATTGCATTTTATTTCCAAAATGTCTGTGAAGGACAGAGGTGAGGGCTCGAGAGGCAGTGGCTTCCCTACACAGCTTGGACCAGTCTGACCATGAAGCCCATGCCTCCTCCTGTCACCCCAGAGGAGAGTTGTGCCCAGTGCTACTGCAGTAGGGCCCTGGGTGTCCCACTCACCACCACAGGCTGCCGGAAATACTCGTCCACTGCAGCGCCTCGGAGGGCTGACAGGTCCACTCCGTGGAAGGACGGCTGGTACCTGCGGAAAGCCCCCCCCAACAACATGGTCACCAGCAGGAGAGGTGGGTGGGGTGGCCATGCCCTCTCTCCCAGCTGGCCTCATCAAGCCCAAGTGTTTCAGGCCATTCGAGGAGCAGGGCCCCTGGGTTGGGCCATCCCTAGAGGGCAGCACCCCCGGCACACTCACCAGAAGTTGGCCTTGGTGAACTGCTCCATGTAGAGCTGTTCATCCGTGAAGGGCGCAAGGTGGACGTCACCAATGGTGGGGAACATGTTTCCTGGGAGCGGGGCAGGGAGGGGTGCTGGTGTCAGGTGGCACATCCCACAGGGCCTGGTGAGCTCCCCAAGGGCACCAAGATCCCACCCCTGGCGTTCCCAGCCTCCCGTTCATTTGTTCATGCATCTACGTGACATGGTACTGCACGCCTATGCTGGGGGGTGTCATATCTGCCACGATGTGCCTCACAGGGCCTCACAGGTAAGCAAGCGGCACCCTCAGCACTATTGTCCATGCACACACAGTGGGGAATGCAGAAGCAGAGTGGGTCCCAAGGTTACACTATTGCCACTGAGGGCCTCAGTGGAGGCCTCAGGCTTGGTGGGGGATGCTGAATCCCCATCCCTGGGGCTGCCCAGGCTTTGGCACAAACACCAGGCCAGCAGAGTGGGCCACTTGGCCGCCCCAGTCTGGGCATGTAGCCTGAAAGGGAAGGAAGGGCAGGTCCTGCATCTGTGACTCACAAGCACCTGACCTCCAGATGTGGGCATCCAAGCAAGGAGAGGGAGGCATGGAGGTGCCAGTGGGCCTCTGCTCCTCCTCACCCCACCAGGCTGAGCCAGAGATAGGAGATGCTCACACACCCTGGGATGGAGAGAGATGTTCAGCTCTGGCTCTGAGGCCACATCCTGGGCCACTTGCTTCAAAGACCTGGGTCACCTCAGGGAAGGGTCTCAGCCTAAAAGATACCTATGGTTCCTGCCAACCAGGAGGCAGCAGCTGGGGGGAGCTGCCCTCAGTCCCAGGAGAGTATACTGAGCTGGGCTGGAGTCTCTCCTGTAGGCCAGCTGGCCAGCCTCCCCCAGCATGCTGCTGGACCGAGATAGGAATGTGTGGGTACCAGAGCCTGACTCCACCTGGCTTCATGTCCCACCAGAAGGGGCCCTTCTGCTGGGACACCCCACCCGCTGCCAGGGCAGACAAGGGAGCAGGGCTGGACAGCCCCTGGGCAGCTTCACCACCTACACTCACTCAGAACAAACTCAACACAGCTGTGGAGTGGCAGCCCATGCCCTCCAACAGCAAAGCTGAGGCAGGTCCCAGGGCCTGGATGCAGAAGGGCGAGAGGCCCAGAGTGGGTACTTCCTTACCCACACCAACCAGGCCTGCATGGGCCTCACCTGGTACCACTTCCTACGCTCTGTCCCATGGCCACGACCCCAGCTGGGGAACCCCGCACTCCCCCACCACACAAAACTCCCTGCCCACATGGAAATACTCTGACACAGGCATGTACACAGCACCAAACAAACATAGCCACACATCATAGGTACGCAGGGCCACGCAGACCCCAGTGACAGACAGGCAGACACAAACAGTTACCAATGACTCATACAATAGGTGTGGCTGGGGATAACAGATGGGCTCATCAGACAGTAGCCTCACCCCCTCACATACATACACACCCACCCCCAGACTCTGAGGAGAGCAGGGTCTGTCCCAATTCTCACTGCCAGCCAGAAGCCCAGCACCAGGTCACAGAATGACAGAGATGTGGAGGCTCCAGGGCCTGAGGGGCAGATTAATGTCTGGCCTTGTTCAGACTCAGGATTCCGCAGCCAGCTGGAGCAGGGTAGGGGCAGAGAGTGGGGGAAAGACCAGACTCCCTTGCACCCTGGGCCACTGACACAGGCAAGCAGGGGCTGAACCACCCATGGGCCTACTGGGCAGCAGTCAGAGGACCCGACCAAGGAGTCCCAACTTCTCAACCTGGTTGATGTAACCCTGGCCTCCGAGCAGAGACTTGCGGCCCAGCAGCTACCCCAGCATGCTGGCAAGCTCACGGCCCACACGCCCACGGCCTGCAATCTCCCCTGCCAGCCCCATCCCCACACGCCAACAAGGACACTCACCGCTGGGCTTCAGGTACTTCTTGGCGTGGAGGTAACTCTCGAGCATGCGCTCGTTGAAGAGCATGTAGCCCATGGGCTCTGAGATGATGATGTCCACCTGCTCAGGCAGTGAGACCTCCTCCACCTTGCCAGGGATGACCACGATGCGATCTGTCAGGTTGTTACTTTTCACCAAGACCTGTGGGCAGGCAGGCAGGGTCATGGCCTGCGCTGCACCCCACTGCCTCCTCTCTCTGCTCACGGCTGCCGAGTCCCTCACCTCCTCCGCAGGCATCCCGACCACAGTCGAGATTCGTCCCAGCCCTGTTCAGGACCACCCCTGCAGCAGCATCCCAGGTCCCCCACCCTGCAAGGACAATTGCTGAGGGCAGCAGAGGCAGGGATAAGCAGAATGTGCAACAGCCACCAGAGCTAGTGACTGGACCCCAAGCTAACAACTCCAGGCCAGGATCTGTCCTCCAGACACAACTGCCATGAGAGAGGGGCTCAACACACAGTGTCCCCACTGGGAAGGAGCTAAATAAACTATCCATCCAGGCAAAGGGATGCTCTGTGGCTACAAGACGGTGAGGAAGGTCCTTCCATGACCCAGGCAGTCCCAGAACCATGGGCAGGGCAGCAGCACGCCTCCAATGCTGCAAGGGAGACGCTCACATCTGCAGCCCACAGGAGAGCTCTAGAAGGACTCCCTGTGTACCACACTCCATCCAGTGTGGGGGCTGGGTGGGTGGGGCCAGGAGGGGAGAATGTTCACTGTTGGCCCTTTTATAGTTTTTATATTTTGAGCCTTGGAATGAAGGTTTCAGTGCAAAAAAAGGAAAATGTCAACTGCCCCTGACCCTGTAGGTGTCCAGCCAGTCATGGAGGTGACACCACTGCAGACCTCTCCCTCCCACAGCTGTTCAGTTGTTGGGACAACTGAGAGAGCAAAGCACAGAGGTGACAGTCTCAGGTCCCCTGGGCCTAGGGTTCCAGGGGCTCCTAGCAGAGTCTGCATCTCTGGAGAGGGCAGGTATGGCACTGATGGGCACGAGGCTGGGCACTGGCGGGACACTGACCTCAGCATGCTGGGCCATGGTGCTGGCCTCCACTGCGTAGATTTTCCTTGCTCCAGCTTGGGCAGCGAAAAATGACAGAATCCCAGAGCCACAGCCGACATCAAGAACAATCTGAGTGAGGAAGAGGCAGTGAGAGCAAGACACAGAAGGTGACAGTGATCATAAGGGGCGAGCACATCACCAGGAACTGCACCTAGGCCATCTCCACCCTCAAGTCTGCCCCTCATGGGCTCTTGATCAAAATAAAGATAACTAAAGATGACTGCATCACAGCTGGTCCTCTGGGAGGAGGAGCCCAGGAAGCCCCTGCAGGCCTAGGGAAGCCTACCAGCAGTCGAGGGTGTCCTGCCAGGCCTCAGCAGCCCTCGAGGGGAGGAAAAAACCCAGGGGTGTTGGCAGCAGCATTCATGGCTCCTCGTCAACTCCTGCCCTGAGTGATGGCCAGGGCCTCGGCTTGGGCAGATGGGGGCCCCAAATTCAGGGTCGGCTGGGTTCCCCCAGGGCTGCTGGCCTGGTACCCCAGTCTGGAAGGACCCCTCACCTTCTGGATGTGGGGCTTGCTTCTGCATGAGTAGGGTGAGGGCATGCATTTCTGCTGGTGACATGCGGGAGCTTTCTAAGGACAAAGACTCTGGGTATAGTGGGCAACAAGTGCCCCGCAGGGAGACTGTTCTCAGAGGAAGGCCTCGGGAGGCCTCTCAGAGCTCAGGATGTACCAGAAATGGATCCATCCTCAGGAAACAGGAAGGGATTTGCCAAGAAGCATTCCCTTTCTCTTTCTAAGTACTGTCCCAGCGCAGCCAAGCCAGTTGCCAGACAGCAGCTCGGGTGGCCCAGCATCCTCTGGGAAGTTCAGCAATGCAAAGGGGCATGACCCAGGTGTTAGAAGGGGCAGGTCCACGCAGACCCACGTGGAGAGCCCTCCAAGATATGCTAAGGATAAACACAGACTTCCACTTGACTCAAAAGAGAAAATAGGCTAGGCACAGTGGCTCACACCTGTAATTCCAGTACTTTGGGAGTCCAAGGCAGGAGGACTGCTTGAGCCCAGGAGTTTGAGACCAGCCTGGGCAACCTGGTGAGACCTCGTCTCTACAGTTAATAAAAAAATATGTCAGGCATGTTGGTGCACACCTGTAGTCCCAGCAAATCGGGAGGCTGAGGTTGGAGGATCGCCTGAGGCCAAGAGGTGAGATTGCAGTGAGCCAAGATTGTGCCACTGCACTCTAGCCTGAGAGACAGTGAGACCCCAATTTTAAAAAAAAAGAGAAAATAAATTCACAAGCTTGGGTTATTTCGTGAGGTTAGAAAACTTTTAAAGGAGCTAAGGAAGTGACTAGATAAATTAGAGTGTCCAAGTGACCTTACAGCAAGTCCCAAGATGCTCTGAATATCTAATGCCCAGCATCGTGACTACAGTTAATACTGCTGTATCGTATACAGTCATGTGACGCTTAATGACAGGGCTATGTTCTAAGAAATGCATCATTAGGCAATTTCATCGTTGCACAAACATCACAGTGTATACTTACACACACCCAAGTGGCACAGCTACTACACACTGGGCTGTATGGTGTAGCCTATGGCTCCTGGGCTATAGGCCTGCCCAGCACGTCACTGTACTGAATACTGAAGGCAATGGTAACAAAAAGAGAAATACCTGTATCTCTAAACACAGAAAAGGAACAGTACAGACAGACATAGTACTAGACTCTTACGGAACCACCCTTGAGTATGTGATCCACCGCTGACCAAGGTGACATGTGGCAGAGAATGGATCTTAAGTGTTCTCACCACACACACACATACAAAGGTAACTATCAACCAGGTGCAGTGGCTCACACCTGTAAGCCCAGCACTTTGGGAGGCCGAGGTGGGAGAATTGCTTGAGCCCAGGAGTTCAAGACCAGTCTGGGCAAAATAGCAGACCCCATCTCTACAGAAAATTGAAAAATTAGCCAGGTGTGGTAACACATGCCTGGAGTCCCAGCTACTTGGGAGGCTGAGCCAGTAGGAATGCTGAGCCCAGGAGGCTGAGGCTGTGATGAGCTATGATTGTGCCACTGTACTTACAGCCAGGGTGACACTGGTGGTAGATGTTAGCCTGATTGTGGTACTCATTTCAAAATGTTTATGTATATGAAATCAACATATTGTCCACCTTAAATAATTACAACTTTAATTTCTCAATCACAGCTCAATAAAGCTGGGAGGAAAATAGTATGTCCTAAGACATACCTTAAGAGGGTAAAAAGGGGTTGTCCAAAAGAGTATGTAGAATACAATCCAATTTCATTTTAAAAAAAAAGAAAAGAAACTCGATGAAACCATTCTGAAATCTATGTTGCTGTCTGCACAAAAACAACTGGAAGAAGAGGCCATGCTGTGGGCACCAGCTGTCTCAGAGGGAAATGACAAAGGCCCATGCTTGGGCTGTAAATGTGTGTTGAGTTTATATAGTAAGTAGATTTTACTTTTATGATCCAAAAAGATTAAAGATAAAATCAACGAGCAAAGAAAAAGAAAACTAAAGACACCAGGCTCGGTGGCTCAGCCTGTAATCCCACGCTTTGGGAGGCCAAGGTAAGTGAATTGCCTGAGCCCACAGGGTTCGAGACCCACCTGGGCAACTTGGCAAGACCTCATCTCTACAATAAATCAAAAAAATTAGCCGGGCGTGGTAGCACGTGCCTGGAGTTCCAGCTACTTGGAAGGCTGAGGCGGAAGGATCGCTGTAGCCTAGCAGGTTGAGGTTGCGGTGGCCGGGAGCGGCCACTGCACTCCAGTCTGGGCAACTGAGTGAGACTCCAACTCAAAAAAAAAAGAAAACTAAAGACAACAGAAGCAGGGAGGGATCTGATGCGAGAGCCAGGCCTCGCCTGTGCCAACTCTCTAGAGAACCCTGTGGTCACCGGACCCCGCCCACTCATGCCCAGCTCACTTTGTCCTTGAAGTCCGTGTGGTTCTGCAGGATGGCGCGCTGGTAGGTGCCCGTCCGCACATAATCCTGCATCATATTCTGCTGCTGGGACAGGTAGCCGTAAAACTGGAACAGAGACACATCAATGGCACGGGGCACGCAGCAGGACACGTGCTGAGGCCTGCCAGCCCTGCGACAGAGAGAGGGGCCATCTCTGGCATAAACCTCCCTCCAGAGGCCGCACACCCTCCACCTGGGCCCCACTGGCACCCCCGGGAGCGGGAGCAGGAAGCCAGAGGGCAGCCCCCAGGAGGGAAACCACCACCATCACCATGGCCAAGGACACAGCCAGATGCCACCTGGACCTGGAAGCCGCCCAGGAGAACTCAAGATTTGCCACAGGGAGGTTCTGGCATCAGGACCACCTGCCCCATCCTAGGGACCCCAAAGAGGAGGAGGAGCAGATCGAACAGAACCCTAGAACTCAGAGCACCAGGCAGGTGAGGTGTGGTGTCTCTGTAAGACAGCAGGCGAGCGGGAGGCAGTGTGGCACCTGGGCAGGGCACAGGCTGTGGCATCAGGCAGACCTGGCTTCCCATCTTGGCTCTGTTGCATAATAGTGGTGTGACTTGGAGCAAGTCACTTAACCTCTTTGAGCCTCAGTTTTCTCATCTGTAAAACGGGGACAATAACAGCACTTACCTCCTAGTGCTGTTGGGAGGTCCAAGTGGTTCTGTGCACATGACAGCACTTAGACCAGTGCCTGGTCCACAAGGGAATATTCAGGACATGATAACTGCTCTACCACTATTCACGCCCATGGCCCACCTGCACTCAAATCCTTCCAGCAACCTTCGCAGGCAGGCACCTGCTTCTCCACTTCACAGATGAGTGAACTGAGGCCCAGCCCGCAGCTATGCGGCTAGTAAGGGGCAGAGCCCGGATGGGAACCCAGGTGGGCCTGCCCCAGACTGCAAAGCCTCCTGCAGGTGGGTGGGGAAGCCACCGAGGGGCTGGTGAGGGCGGGCACGACCCACCTGGAAGTACTGCACAGCAGAAGACTCCTCTGTCCGCTCACTGAACACGGACCGCTCCAGGGTGTGGCCCCGGCAGGTCTTCAGGATGTTGTAGAAGGAACAGAAATCTAGAACAGGGAAGCCAGGTCACCAGGGTTGGCAGTAACCCACCCCTGGAAGCCGGTGTGTGGGACCACCATGAGGGGGGACTCTGAGGGACACAGATCCTGATGTGTTCACCCTGAACACCTGTGGCCATTTTCCACAGATACAGTGTTCACATTCCAGAGAAAGGAAGGGCAGCCACATCTGCCACCTGGTGATCAACACAGGAGGGACAGAAGTTGTCCCAACGTCAGACTGCTGTCCGCTGGAAGTGGGCCTGGGACCTCCTCTCCAGAGGGCAGCTCAAGTACATGTCCACTGACCTGGGTGTCAAAGCTCTGGCAATAAGCCCACATCCACCCAAAGCTCAGAGCAGTATCTGTGCATGGGAGCAGACACCAATGTCTGTTAAGAGGGGACAGGATAAGCCCAGGACAGAGAAGCCATGGCAAGGAACTGACCACTACTCTGTCCTGACAGCCAGGGAATGCAGCCCTTTAAAAAGAGCTACATAATTAACATAGAACACTGGCCGCTACATTATATTGATTTTTTTTTTTTATGTAGAGCAATATTTATAAGACAATCTTTTTTTTTTTGAGTCAGAGTCTTGCCCAGCATGGAGGGCAGTGGCACAGTCACAGCTCACCACACCCTTGACCAGGGCTCAAGTGATCCTTCTGCCTCAGCCTCCTGAGTAGGTAAGACAATAGACATGAGTCACCACACCTGGCTTATGTTTTGTAGAGACAAGGTCTTGCTATGTTGCCCAGGCTGGACTCAAACTCTTGGGCTCAAGCAATCCTCCTGCTTCGGCCTCCCAAAGTGCTGGGATTACAGATGTGAGCCACCAGGCCGGCCTGACAGTTAAAAAAATTAAAAGACATAGTACAGGATGATGAAAAGGTTTTGGAAGTGGATGGTGACGGTCACACAACAACATGAGTGGACTTAATACCATGAACTGGACACTGAGAAAGGGCTAAACTGGTCATTTGCTTCTAATGGAGACTATACTATTTATTTATTTATTTATAGATTTGAAAATGTAGTTTATTTAGAAAGTAAATGAGAGAGTGAGAGAGAGAGAGAGAGAAGATTCACCTCCTCAAGATAGGGGAGGAAGCCAAAGTCAGGAAAACATCATTGTGGCCACAGCTCAAAGAACCACATGGCAAAGACCAGAGTTTAGCACAGGAATGGCCAAGCCTTTACAATGTTAAAAAACTGATAGAACTGAAAGAAAATATTCAAATAGAAACAGAGTAGAGAAACTAGAGGGCTTTAGAACACACCACCACTATCACTGATTATCCTGGTGGTGCTGTGTGCAACTTAGTTTTTAACAGTGAACTTGGATTATTTGTGTTTGTAAAGACGGAAAGTGGGTTGTGGGTGCAAGAACACCTTGGCCGGAGGTGAGCAACCTCAGCCACTGGCGCTCTGCCCCCACCCCCTCCTCCACTGCCTTCACCTTAGGGCAGCAGCACACAGGTGGCCCAAGGGCTCAGGCTGCCTGAGGAACGTCTGGGTGGCTGCACAGTCTCCCAGAGATGAGATGGGGCCAGGGGAGGCTGGCAGGGACAGCAAGGAGACAGGCATCCCCCCTTCCTCTTTCCCTGCCCCAGTCCCTGAACCAACTGCAAGGCTCCCTTCAGGAGACCAAGCCATGTGATGGGACTTTCGAGGGTCTCCAGCTCTGGGTGCCCCTCCTACCCACACCTGCAGTGGCACTGCCTCAGGCTCCCCAAGGTCTCCTCAGGAGTCTTTCTGGGGCCTCCAGCAGCTTCTCAATGGGCCAGAACAAGCCTCCACCTGCTCCCAAGACCTTATCCTGTCTCATCCCCTCAACTCCAGCTGCAGCTGGCCTGGGGCCAGCTGAGTCGGGACAGGTCTCTTAGAGGGGACATAGAAGCCGAGTCCTGAAGGACCAGCAAGGGGCATCTGGATACAATGTTTGCCAAGGCAGCAAGAATGCATCTGGACACATTTGCACATAGGAACGCAACTTCCAACGGCAGGGAGCCTTTGTCGGGGTGGATGAGCTGCCATCTGGCCGGGGCCCGCCACAGCGCTGGGCACACTGGCTTCAGGTCACCCGGACCTCAGGAGGGCACGTACCATTGGGGGTGGCGAATTGGATGAGGACGCTGTTGCAGCCCAGGGTGATGATGAAGGACTGTTTGCCCACACGGCTGCACTCCGTCTCCCGTGACACTGAGCACTTGAACACACACACGTCTTCTTCTGCGAGAGGAGAGAGTCTGGTGTGAGCAGAGGATCCCTGCCAGCTGCCTCCTTTTGGGCCCGTGTTCCTGTCCTCCCCTCGGCATCCCCAGATCCTCCTGGAGTGCCATGAAGTCACCTGGAAGCACTGCCCAGCACACACTGAGGCCAAGGGTGCCAGTCAGGCAGCAGGGACAGCCTGTGTCCTCAAATAACTCCACATCCAGGGGCAGAGGGTGGTGTCCCCAGGTGACCAGGGTCAACACGATGACCATGAAGGCACCCCGGCCCTGAGCAGGCTGAGGCTAATAGACACAGGCGAGGAAAGGATCAAGGCAGAGGCAGAGGGTTATGGGACCCAGGGGGCCTTCCGTCACAGACCTTGCATGCCACACAAAGGCACACAGGCTTCCAGGTCATCATAGGCTTCAGAGCCAGAGACGCCTCTGCTGCCTTCAGCCAAGCCTATCTGTTCTTGAACTCATGTGGTGCGGAGCCAGCAGTGTGCCTATGGCAGCCAGGCTCACGTCCTCCATGCTACTCACTCAATGTGTGACGCAGGCAGGTCACCCAGCCTCTATGGGTCTTGGGCTTCTCATCGCCAGGGGGGCTGATGGCAGGGCAGTGGTCCAGTGAGTTAGGACACTGCAGTCAGGTGCCCGTCACCGTCATTGGTCATTCACTTGACAAGCATATGGTCACCCCCGCTCAGCATCACCAGGAACAGGACAAACCATTCCATGCCGTGCCCCTGCTGTACTGAAGCAGGATGGACATGGCACCTGTGTGCTGTTCTTGGCAAAAATGTTTATCCCAACCCATCATCAGGAGACAGCAAGAGACAATGGCACGTGAGCATCCAGTGAAAGCAGGACCCTGGGCTGAAGCCTCATAAAAGACATTTCTGAAAAGCTATAAACTATAAAGGACAAGGGGAACCGCAGCACAGTGGTGCACACCTGCAATCCTAGTGTCTTAGGAGGCTGAGACAGGAAGATCACTTGAGCCCAGGAATTTCAACCAGCCTGGACAACATACAGAGATCTCTTCTCTACAAATAATACAAAAATTATGTGTGGTGGTGCACGCCCTAGTCCCAGCTACGTGGGGGGCTGAAGCAGGAGGATCACTTGAGCCCAAGAGTCTGCAGCTGCAGTAAGCTGTAACCACACCACTGCACTCCAGTCTGGGCAACAGAGTGAGACATCTCAACTCAAAAAAGACAGCTGGGGAAATGTGAGTATGGACTATACATGCAATGAGTTTAAGTTATCTGAGTGTGACAGTACCACTGTGGTTTCGTAGAAGAATGCCTCTGAGCCGGGCTCGGTGGCTCAGCCTGTAATCCCGTACCTTTGGGAGGCTGAGGTGAGTGAATTGCCTGAGCCCACGGGTTCGAGACC